GCTAATTACCTGTGTGAAAACAATTTGTTCTCAATATAGATATGTCATTTGCATACATAATGAAAGCAAAGAGATGGAGAAACTCTCCAAACTCAGCTAACTTCTTTACCTAAAAACTGTATCACATATTTTACTATTTATATGTGTTCGGCAGTTGAGTCCTTTTCACAAGTAAACATCTTGAAATGTGAGCACCTTGGAATATGAGAAGCTGAGCCTCAGAGAACTTTCTAGTAAATGTCAATATCCTATGTAAAAAACAAGGCTCCCCTTAAATCTTTTAACTTTTTATCAGTACCAGGGATCGAACTCACGACTGCCTGCTTGCAAGGCAGGTGCTTATGCAGCTGAGCTAAATCCCCAGCCCCTCCCCTTAAATCTTAATCGTTTTGAGGAGTACAGGAGTCTGCCCTTGTCTCCAGTTTCACTTCCTGTGGTTTCAGTGACCTTTTGTCAATGAGAGTCTGAAAATATTATATGGAAAATTCTAGATTTAAAAAATTTATGTTTTAAATGACTTTTATTGCAGCATATTGTCATAATTGCTCTAGCTTATTATTACAGTTGACATAAATGTCTTACTGTGCTTAACTTAGAAATCAAACTTTTTCATAGGTGTGTTTGTACAAGGAGTGATCGCCAATGAATGTTTAAATTTTTAAATAATGTTACAGTAAAAGACACGTTACCATTAATCCCCTTCAAAATATACCGCTCGCTTTGAATACGCATTGTTCTTGCCACTTTCTGAAGCAGTTCTGGAAACCTTTCATACCTGTCTTTACTTGGTTATTAAAAATATGATGAATACTGCTGCCCAAGTGCCATCCAATGGAAAGGCAGGCTCCTAAAATCATTACGCTGAGTGCTCATCCTCTTTATTCACTGGATCGCATGCTGTGCAACTTCTACCCTTTCCCAAACTCAAAATGACCACAAAAGGAAAACATTTTGAATTGATTCAGGACACACGGGTAGCCACAACAGTGCAACTAAAGACACTCATGAAAGAGAACTTTCAGAACTGCTTCAGATAATAGTAAGAATACCGGGATAAACAAGGAGAAGCATTTTGAGGGGAATTAATAACAATTTACTGTAATCAATGCTTTGTAATTTCAATACTCACTACAGTTTTGATTACATAATGTACATTAGGACGTGGCACCACTGGGGTTTCAGGCATCCTCTGGGGTTCTTGGAATGTGGTCTCCACAGTTAAAGAGAGCTATGGAGGTACACCTTGGTTTACAGCATCTCCTTTAACAGAGCACGTTAACACAATTTAACGTCACTATGGCAATTGTGCTATTGAAATGACATCCAAAGAAATGTGCCGCCCTGGCCTGGCTTGTTTCTCTGTCTGGACCTGCCTTAGAAGGTTTCTGCAATTTTCCCAGCAGGTAGTCTGCAGCACTTTCTGCCCTTCCCCATGTTCCAGCAGTTCATGTAGTTCTCCGTGGGGGTGACATGGGGCACTTGGACCTTGTTAACCACACAGTGGGCCCAGCACATTTTACCAGTAGGAGAAATCCATTCTTGCCACCAATAATTATTCCTCCACATGCAACTGTATTGAACTGGTCTGTCCTGCATGAGCTAGAATGGACAAAGCTTGCTGTAAGAGGCAGGTAGGCTGTCACGTCCCTGGAAGGACCATTTTTCCTTGTTGGTACAGAAAAGGGTATGGGCTGCTTTCCTGGGATTCAAGCCACAGGACACCCAAGGGGATGCAGGAATGTGGCTCCTGCTGCTGCTGCTGCTGCTGCTGCTGCTGCTGCTATTATAGGCACACAGAGCTACTTCAAGGCTACCCAAGTGCCTGCCCAGAAGTACTTGCAAGTTTGTATCTTGAGACTTCTAAATTTTATAATGTGCCCACCAACAATTATCACATGAAAAGTATGTGAACACAAGACTCCAGAACTATTTGTGAGCATCTTTTTTTGTGTGAGCTGAAAAATGACAGCAAAGATTTTATTAGCACTGCAGGAAAAGTAAACATAAATTCTGAGTGAAGCAAAGAGCAGACATACTTCCTATTTGATGTGCTTTATTACCTGGTTTATGACTTAAAATTTTTATTTACATCTGTGTTTTGTATTCTTTACTGCATTTTTGAAAGCTATGTTCTCCTGATACTATTTCCTAGATCAGGGAAATAGGAAAATTGTCTTTATCAATTTCATGGTTTGCCCCAAACAAAACACCTGTATATAACAAATTACGATAATGTAAAACCCTTGGAGAATTAAAATTGCTATACATAAACCTTTCAATGTATTACAGAAACATTTTCAACCTTATTGGGCATAGTCATATAAAGGAATTAGCAAATACTGTGTTTAAATTTCAGCTGTAAGTTTCCAAGAAATTTTTGTTTCTAAATCTGCCTCACATACTTCTGGAAGTACAGCCCAAAGTGAGGATATGTCTGTCACAGCTCCTGCCACTCTGCTCAGCCTGAAGCACCGAGAACAAGGAATCCCAGAGTACCACAAAATCCAAACCACATCCAATGGTGCTCAGGTCAACTTAAAATGAATTTTTTTGAGGCAAATATCAACCTTTTTAAAGATGACAATGTTCCTCTCTAATTTTAAAGGATACAAAGGGTTTGCCTTGACTTAATTATCTCGATTTATAAATATCTCCTCAGGTAGTGTTCAAAAGGCACACAATATACATGCCCAAAGTATATACTTTGTATGAAATGTGAACACGACTACTTTTTTGGGAGGAGGGATTTTGGTAATTAACCACTCAAGCAGGCACTTGAGCTACTAAACTCCCAACCCAAGACACTTAGTCTTACAAAGAGTGATCTGGGTCAAATCGCACCTGCCCCATCAATCTCTTCACAAATTCTTTTATCTCTTCACAGATTCTTGCAGATAGAAATCCCTCAATCTATATTCCCATGTGTCGGTGTCACTCCCGGCCGGCAGGAAGGACACACAACAAAGTCTGGCAGTGGACAACCTTTTCTTTTATTTTCCTTCTCCGTACAGCCTGCCCCGGGAATCCTCCCGGCCGAAGCCTCTGTTGGTCCGCTCCCCGCGGCTCCTTGCGTGCTTCTCCCTACAGTCTGTCCCGAAGCCTCTACCGGTCCGCTCTCCGCGGCTCCTTGCGTGCTTCTCCCTACAGTCTGTCCCGAAGCCTCCACCGGTCCGCTCTCCGCGGCTCCTTGCATGCTTCTTCTGCTTCTTTTTTCGTGGCGGGAGAGGCACTCACTTTTATAGGGTTACAGTGGCCAACCAGTTCAAAGCGCGCGATGCGGGCTGATTGGCTAACATCAGTTGTTGCTAGGCAGACTATCTTACAGGGCGGGTTGTGAAGCAGGAGATCTTACAGGGCGGGTTGTTTACCAAGCAGGAAGCAGGAGATCTTACAGGGCGGGTTGTTTACCAAGCAGGAAGCAGGAGATCTTACAGGGCGGGTTGTTTACCAAGCAGGAAGCAGGAGATCTTACAGGGCGGGTTGTTTACCAAGCAGGAGATAAGCGCCATCTTAGCACACTCGATGGGAGGGGTAATCTAGCTCAGGCTTTGCTCTTTCCTACAGGCCTCACATCCGCCAAGTAAGGCGACCGGGCTCGGCCGCGGCTCCCAACACCCATGGATTTCTGGAACCTTAAAATCAGCATCCCTATTGCATGTGCAATCTTTTAAGTTCACACTACAGCATCCTCCTCGAAGGACGTGGCTTCTGCTGCTTCTCCATCCCCAGAGCAAGATAAGAGAACCTGGAACTCAGTCAGGACAATGGTGCTTGGCAGTGGGATCCTGAATCCAGCTCATACTCACCATTCAGAAAGCCCCTAGATCTACATTTATCTCCTACTCTACACTCTCTTCTCCAGTCAGGGTCCCATGTCAGTTGCTGTGTAGCTGTGCTACCACATCCTCCTCCTCCTCCTCCCCCTCCCCCTTCTCCTCTTCCTCCTCATGTCCCAGTGGCTGGTTTCTATTCTGCAAGGGGCAGACCAGATCTCTCCTGGTTGATCCATCTTGTCTCCTTCAGGACCACAGGGCAGCATCTGACCAGCCCAGGAAGACACTCTTCAAAGTGTTTCCTATCTGATAGTCAAGGGGCAAAGCTTGCCCTAATGCGTTATCTCACCCTTCATATTGAAAACAGTCTGAAGGGCATTATAGTGTTCTGTAGCCTACAGAATTGTGCCAGCTTCTAAAATTAAGTACCACACAATTACTTATTAATGACAAGCTTGATTCAGAGGTTTTCCACTGTGTGCTTCTTCATTTAGTGAACTTTCATCTTTCTGCCTTACAAAAGCCCAGCAGCTATGGGAAACCAGTTCTTTCTTCCTGAATTGTACAAAACATCAGGGCCCTTTCCAAATGTGATCCCTCCTTACCATGGTTTGTATTCTGCAGCCCCAGATCTTCCACCACACTGCACCAGACATCAGGACCCACTGTGCACACCTGGCCAGGTCCTGCTGCCTGCTTCTGTTTCTCAAGGAGTCCTTGCTGGCCTGGGAGAACAGGCGTTTGCTGTACATGTGAGGGCAGCATAGCACAAGGGGCTGCAGAATCAAGATGACCCCTTATGCTATCCCCAAAGTACTTTGCTTGGTTGCTCTAAGACAAAATTTTATGCAATAAAGAAAGGCTGTGCAGTGAGTCCAGGGATACACTGTCAGAGAGGTAACACACGGGTGAGCAGGAAGGGCTGCAACACATAGCAGAAGGTCCAGGGCTACTTCATGCTGTGTTAATGAGCAGAAGCTGCACCTGAATCAGACAGAGGGTGTGGCCAGCTCTTCCACAGGGCATAGGGACTAACTCCCCGGTGGGGGCAGGCCCCACACTAAGGAGTCATTGAACATTCACTATCATGAAAAGTCTTCCTAACTTTTCCTTTATAATTCTTCATTGTGTCCCACACTATCAATTAAATGTTACCTTTTTGGTTTCTATAAAGAAGTGCTATATACACACACACATATACAGTATTTGATATATTAATGCACAGGATTACAATCAATCATGGTTTTTATTTATTTTAGCTAATTTAGGATTTATGGATTAATGGAACATAGTCTGTTCATTTGGGACTTTTATGTCCATGTTCTGTGCTTTAGTACTAGGTAGGTATAAATCACAAATTACTTTCTCAACATTTTTACAAGTTCTGCTATTCCTTGCTTATCCTCTTCCAAAACAAGAGTTTACAGATATTTTAGACATCTGATACACTACTGCAAGAATATAGAAATATTTTTTATTGTAGTAGAATGTTATAGTTACTCTTTAAATTTATTGTTCCCCTTCTTATTATAGCAATAATGGATTCCTTAGTATAAAGACAAATCAAAAGGAAAAATATCTACAATTCTGGATTAAGAAGTATATTGAGATCTGGCAACCTACACCATATGTACAGGATATAAACATATTTATACTTTATATGTACATAGTTAATGGTAACCTATCCATTATAAATAGTAGGTTTAACTTAGTTCTACAAAAATAATCACTTTGAATGGGTGCATGCAAACCAACACACATAACCCCATTTATAAAACACCATTTCAGTTTTTTGCTTTTAAATATAAATGTTCCTATTTAGCCATCAGCAAATGATTTTAATGCAAATCCCAACGTCCCCAAGTAAAAATACAAAAATCAGCTTTAATCCACCTCAGCACACTGCTCCAGGGCTCTTGTATTAGTACAGGTAATTTTGTCATATGTGACTCACAGGTACAGATCCCATTTCCCCAGATATCAGACATCCTTCCAAAGTCAAGGATTCCTTTATTCTACTTTTAAAAATAACGCAAACAGTAGATATTTCTCAAAATAACATCGCCTCGGCTTTTATATTCTTGTATAAATGGGCACAGTTGAACCTGTCCCTCGTGTTGGCCCGGTGCCGCAGCCCACAGCCAGGCTCAGTGGCTGGCGGAGTCCTCCGCATAGGCAGACACCTGCGCGGCCACGAAGGGCTCGCTCTGCTTCTGCTCCTCCTTCACGCTGGCCGCTTGGTCTGTGATGGAGGAGAAGGACAGCTGGTCGTGCTCCACAATGTGCACCTGGTCTTCATCCTTGTCCTTCTTCACATAGAACATCTTCCGGAACTTCTTCAGCTCATGGAGCTCACAGAAGGTCTCCAGGACCACCAGCATGGCGATGAGGCCCAGCAGCAGGTAACCTGTGTGAAGACACCACAGCGGCTCAGCGCCATCAAGTTACATGGGGACACTGCTGAACAGACAGATGCACTGCTACTTCCCTAACTTTAAGGGAAGTCTAAAGCCCATGGTTCAAAGAGGAGCTGCTCTGAGAAAGACAATGAAAAACGGCCTCTGCAGCCCTGAGTTATTTAGGATCATGGCGACAATGGGAGAAACAGAAAAAGGTCTGTGCTAATGCCACCTGCTTAAGACAGCACAGAGCACTCACGCAAGAGAGACCCATCAGCTGGAGGGCTCTCCGCCTTAGCTCACCAAAGCCAGTGACACTCTAGACATTTGCAGTTTATCATGGGCATCTGTAAAGCACTCAGTATTTTTTATCATTCTTTGTTTTTTTCTTTTATTTTTTTCTTGGTAGCAGAAATCCAACTCAGCCTCATGCTTGCCAGGTAAGTTGTGCCATTGAGCTACATCCCAGCCCTGGATCATTATTTCTGCTACAGAACAAGAAGTTTAGAAATAGAAATTATAGCTTAAACTATATTAAAATTCCTTTAGAAACTGACCTCAGTATTAAACAGGTCTTGGTGTATGACTGTTTATACTGTACCTAAATTCAGGGTAAACAGAAGTGATAGTTTTTGGACATATGGATCGTTCACTTGCTAACCCTCCAATTAATTTTTTTTATTCTGTAAAGACAACAGTGCTATTCCTCGGAATGTTTTATGGGGGAAATGTAATTTTAAACTCAGTTCTAATATTTTAAAAATCAATTTCTGGGGAAGGGGAGAAATGACCATTATGAAAAGGAATAGAATAGTAAAATGAAAAACTCCAAATAATAAAAATACTGATTCATGTGCTATCACTAAAATGTTTCAGGAAGATTTTCAGACCATACATGAACCATAAGAGCTAGCACTGGCAGCAAAATAAGAAAAGGATATTAATTATCCTTAAGAATGCAAAGGTTTGAAACATTCAGAATTGGACATAATCTTTCATAATAATATACCACATGCAGTGCACTTTCTCGAGTTTTAGAAATAGCAATGACATTAGGCGTCAGAGTAATTGATAAATCTGCTACATTCCTTAGTATTGTTTAGTTAAACTCTTGAACACTGACAGAAATAACTATGGGTTCTCAGACTATAGAATTTTATCCAACTGACAATTAAATACCTTTGGAACTTTCATTTGTTTGATATTCAAGTTAATACTCAGAATATAAACCAATCCTGGATGGATCTGTTAAAAGTGAATGATCTGGGGCCGGGCAGGGGGTGAGGGAGGGTAGCTCAGTGGTGTAAGTGTGAGGTTGTGAGTTCAAATCCTGGGACCAAAAAAAAAAAAAAAATCCACGTTGAAAGAAGTAATGTTACACATGAATTTGATACCATGTGGAAAACCAAATAAGCTAAACTACTGGACAAAATAGGGTACAAATTTGTACAAAAGTATCACCAGCAAACATAATTGTAGAAACATTATTTCACTGTCATGAAAAAAAAGAAAACATAAAATGAGATATTACCACTTATAAAAAGGAAGTTTAAATGTTTATTTTGTTATTAAATCCACCCATAGGAAAAAAACGGCTATAATTCTACCAGCCAACGTCACAGAGAATTTAAATTGTCCTGCTCAGATAACACTTCTGATCCTGCAGGTTCCACACCACAATAGCACTGGTCAACATGATCTGTTACTCACAAAGGGGTATATTCATTCTGGACTGCCATCTTATTTCTTAGAAAGATCTACAGTACAAAAAATATTAAAAAGATAATATTTATAACATGCCCTAATTAGAAGTAACATAAATAACCACAATAGAGGCATGCATGGCCAGATGATGGGATAGCAGCTGGTAAAGTAAGAATAAAAATAATACTTAGGCTCTATGAAATCATTTGGCAAATATCTAGGGAACTTGTATGTGAGCCAGGCACCGCTGAAAGCGCTAGGGATTTATGAGCGACGGCTTTGTTCTTGGTAAGCCCGTGGTTTAGTGAAAATGTTCAGCTGAGCATTTGGTGGGGTTAAGATGACAGGGCCAGGACCCAGCATCTGACTGCCTGGGTGACCGCTCTGGCTCTGATTTTCTTGAAGACATAGCCTGAGTCACATCACACATGGAAAAGTTCTCGGGAATACAGACTAAAAACTGTGTACATTATGCCAAGAGTAACATTCTACAACAATAAGTACTTTCCAGAAAATGGATGCTTTTCAGAACATTATACTGACTTTGAAACAAACATTCTTTGAAAAGTATAAATCACTGGCCATCTGAATTTTAAAACCTATTTTATTTCCTGCATATATAATTCTGAAAACAATGGATATCTTCTTTGAAAAAGAACCATGTGCACTACATTAAACTTCTCCTTAAAAAACAGTGGAAAAAGATAAAGACCAGATGGACAAATGAGATACAAGATTGTGTTATGAATTTCCTGGTAAATTAAAAAACATAATTGCTAGTAACAGCCTACATATCTGAGACCTCATTTCCTTGTACTTACAATATTTAATAGAAGAAAGCTATTTACTTTATTAAAAGTCAGTTATCAAGTACATCCAACATGGCCTATTTCTATGCTGTAATATAATGCCTATTACATCATTAGTAAGAAATTTATCAGTAGTTTTCAGGTGCCTAGAAAAAGTAACTGAGCATTAAGGTTTTGCATAAAGAACTTTGAAACCAAATAGCTGTGGGCAGGTGGTAAGAACAAAGGCTTTCACCCAGAAGGCAATGGGGATGTCTCTGCCTGTTTACTCTTCAGAGTGCAAAGTGCGGTCTGGGTCTGGGCGGCCACACAAGGCAGGGGAACACTGAGCGGCTGCATACTCACATGTGATCCCGATCTTGTAGAGCTCTCTGAATTTTTGATTGTAGCCTTCCCCAGGAACATAATCCCCCAGGCCGATGGTGCTCAGGGAAATAAAACAAAAATAAAAGGATTCAAGGAAGTTCCAGTCATCCTCCAAGACTGAGAACACAGCAGCTGGGATGAAGAAGAAGCAGGACACGGTGACAAACCCGAGGACAACAGCATGGACGATGGCCACCATCTGCTTGGAGAAGCCCCAGCGGATGTGAAAGTAGAGGACTGGTCTGCGGGTGACATGCACGGTGATGCGCTGGACCACGGCAGTCAGGAACAGGAGCGTGAAGGGGATGCCGATGACCGAGTAGATGATGCAGAAGGCCTTGCCCCCATCCGATAGGGGCACAGTGTGGCCATAACCTGCAAGGACAGGAGGCTGGCTGAGAGAGGCAGGGCCCAGGGACCTAGACACCAGCTTTTTAAGGCAGGCATTTCAATCGGCTGCTTGTATGACCCTCAAACTGGGCAGACACACCAGACTTCAGCTCTGCCCTTTAAAGAATCCATTATATTGTTACACTGGTAAAATACACTTGTAGATACCAGGCATTGAAAGGCCATCATTCTTTTTTTTTTTATCGGTACCGGGGATTGAACTCACGGGTGCCTGCTTGCAAGGCAGGTGCTTATGCCGTTGAACTAAATCCCCAGCAAGGCCGTCATTCTTTATAAAATCTGAATAGCTCTTCTTACACAATGTGCTCTGGTTTAAGATTCACCTTTAGACTGAGCGGGAAGAAGGTGCGTGGGCTGAAGTGCCGGTGCATATCAGCTCAGACCAGGAGGAAAAGCCAGTGATGGGACAGTCTGCTGTTGGAGCTGACACATTCTACCCAGCAGGGTCTAAACACCAGCCCTGCTCCCATGCTCCCATTCAAAACAGATTCCTGACGGAATGTTTTACCTCAATGCCTGACAAATCAAGGTGTGTGAGCAGAACCAAACTCACAGGAGGAAAATGGAAGGGTGGGATAGCATCAGTGAAGGTACCTACAATGGATGAGTGGATAAGAAATGAGCCAGAAGCTCACTGACTCACAGCACTGACCAATTCTTTTAAGACATTTACATTACTGTATCCAGTTGAATGGCACATTAAAAAACCTACACATTTCCCCTCTTGTCTTTTCCAAACATTCCAAGATGCAATAAATTCCCAAAGCAAATATTGAAATAATTATATTAGGACCAGTGTTCACAACACATCCAACTTTCCACAAGGTTTGAGCCATTTCCAAGTTGACAGACAAGGGACAAATGCCAGCTTGAGGACCCACTCAGGTATGAGGCCTGGTAAGCGGTTTAAAAAATCTCATGAGCTCTTCATCCCCAAAGAACAAACAGGTCTGAACAAGTCAGCTCAAGAAAAAGCTAGGTTCATTTTAAATGAATCAGATTCCGAAAAAACATACAGGAATATAACTGAAAAGTATAACTGCATCTTAGAAATATATCTTACTAAAATCTAAACACCTCCAAAAAACCCTCTGTTGCAGATTCAAATTCTCTGCTTCAAGACACCCAGACAGGTGCGGTTAGAACAAAGCTTCCTGGGTTATTCCTGGCTTGCTGTCCCAGGAGGCACACAGTTGATGAATGAACCTACAGCACATCCCAGAAATGCCCTGAAGATATACAAATGAACACATCCACCCACATATGTCTGTCTTAGTGGAGGTCCCAGAGTGTGGATTCTCACAGAGCCAGGCGTCCCCATGTGGCTCAGAACCACTGCTCTGAGAATCAGCTCCTGAAGGCACCTGGTCCTGGTACAGCCAACAGCTCCTGGGAGGCGGTGGCTAATCTAAAGAGGGAAATGGCCAGGCTGGAGCACTCACAAACAACAGGATGGTGACTGTGTGTGCCAGGTAATTTTCATGCAGCATATGGAAATAGGAAGACCGGGATGTTTATTTTTGAGGGGAAAGAATAAGAACTGTTGGAAGTAAAGCTGCCCATATAGTAAAAACACCGAGGCTGATGGAAGCAACAGTTTTAGTCAGAAAGGAGAAAGGCTGGTCTAATAATCAGAGACACCTGGAAATAAACTCTGAAAACTGAATTTTACTTAACCATAACAAAGCCAGTTGGAAAGTGATTCACAATTTAGTTACAAGGCTATGTTTAAAGCACTTGGAGAAGCTGAAATGACAAGGTATGGATTTAACTTTTGCAGGATTGTGTGGAGGAAATGTAAGATCAGCCAAGTCTGTGGGCAACAGTGGTATGACCATAATTTCCATTCCCTTTGGAGGGGGGAGGACATTTTAAAATTAGCTTTTTTAAAAGTGAGACATGCCTGTATCACACAACCTACATCTTCTGTATCATCTCTCAATAAGTGACACAATTCAGACTCCAGGAGGCAGAAAAAAGCAAACAAACTTCTTGTTTTTCTTATGATACTTGGGATCAAACTCATGACCTTACGCTTGCTAGGCAGGTGCTTGTGTCACTGAGCTAAACCCCTGGCCCTAAAAGCAAACAAACTTCTAACTATAACATGTTGTAGTTTATCAAATTTTAATAGCTTTTTACTAGAATATTAACTAAATTTTATTATCTTTCAGCAATAATCATTATAAGACTTTAAGATCTCTCTACAGAGAGGGCATTTTTATGCCAGGAAGAGTCCCACTAACAGATTAAAATCACCAGCATGCAAATTCTCACTGACAGCCATTTCTCTTCTCTTGATGTTTACATAAATAATTTTTGGTAACAGAAAGTAAAATGTATGCCTCATCTGTACATCTCATATTTTTAGTGCAGGCCACACTGAGGAAACCATCTTTAGCACTGAATACACAGCAATTCTTTTGCAATAGACACCTTAATGTATCTTATGAAAGCTTTCAGCCCAGTACAATACTAATGAGATAATCAATAACTACTCAAGTTCAGCCACCTGAAACTCCAGATAAATAAAAAAAACAAAACTCATATTTCCAAACATGAAACAAAATTCATATTAAAATCCATTATGTATAAAGACAAATTTTGCAAAACAATACAGCTGGCATCTTTGGGGCCATTTAGTTTTTCTAAGGCTATTAACACAATTTTAGGACCCCAAAACACTGAGTATATAATAGTGAACTGACTTTAAAATTTTGGTTAGGACCTTGGGATAAAGCCTTTAAGACCTGATGTGGCTGCCTTCCCTCCTACAGTTTTAAATCCACAGGGCGTGTTTAATGGATGATTGAATGGATGGCAGCCTTTTATGAAATGTAGCTTCCCATTTAGCTGCTGCAGCACTAGGCTTACTAATGGCCTACCTGGGCTATGCCATGCTAAGGCCCAAACATGGGCCTTTAGGCTTCCTTGCTATTTAAGCCCTCCTGAATGAGGTCTAAGTAGAGTAACTTTGTGGGCTACTTTGGTACATTACAGCAAGTCAATGACCCAAACTTCCTTCCCATATAACTCTTATGGCCTAGCTCTAACCAATGTGCCTCTGTCCTGTTCTGTATGCACTGTTTTCGATAGGATTAAATTTCCATTTCCAGAAAAGACTTAAGTTTCAGCTTCTTGTAAATCCCCCTCAACCCTCCTTCTGTATGCTTCTGCAAGGTGTGTTGTTTCCGGGAAAATGTTTAACCGCAGAGAGCAATAGAATGTACCAAGAATCCCAGATGTTAACAGGTCAACAGCTTTGCGATTTTTGGCTTCAAAAACCCCGCCCTTAGTCTGTTGCACTCGCAGTCTTCCATATTGGCTACCGGAGGTTGCGTTGCCAGGCCTGGCCTAAAATAAAGTCGTTGCTCCAAATATCTTAATTTCTTGTTCCTTGGATTTTATTCCGGGGTCCGAGCTATCGCAGTAACCGGATGCTTTTGAGACAGCTATAGTTTGCCCTGCACATACATTACAATAATAGCCTTATAAAAAAGTATTCTTTTATCTGCATTAATTAGTATAAGATGAAACAATGTATCCATGCTTCAGTGATACATGATTTTTTCGAAAGACCACAAGAGTCTTGGCCTCTAACATCAGTCCTGGTGAGAATGCCTGCATCTGCTTTTGAGATGGGCTGTGTCCCTACTGTGTAGGGGAAGGGGCCACAATAATTCAGCTTACCAAAGACCCAACAGCCAGTGCAAGAAGGAAGCGGAACTGGAGTCATTTTATCAGCCTTTCAGATCTAGCCATGGAAAAGGGTGAAGTGTGGTAAAGAACAAGCAAACAGTAAAACAGGAGTGATGGCCAAATATGTGGAAAATAAAAGTTCTGTAACTGGCACTGCAAAATGGAACTTTTAAAGACCTTGATTTTTTCTTCTAAAGATAAGACAAATTTCCTTGGTGGCACATAACAAATGCCACCCCCTCCCCGGCCAAAAGAAGTGATAGAATATGCAGACCCCTACCCCAGAAGAGGAGCTTAGCTAAAGATGGCTGAGGTCCTAAAGTGTGGAGGTCTACATCATTGCCCTGTGCTCCTTTCCCTCTGCTCTTTATGATAAAAGACTGATAAAGCCACCTGTTCACGGGAGATGGAGATTCGAGGCAAATGAGCCCCTTTTTCTCCTTAGAGGTACCTGAGTGAATCTTTTTATCAAAATATATGACCTCCTTTGACTTGGTCAGGAGTAAGCAAAAAAAAAAAAAAAAAAAAAGAGCATATTAACCTAAGTGACTAGAAACAATTAAATCACTGGGTGTTTCCAGAGCAAAGATATTCTGAAACAGCTCAGGTGTAACACAACAAAAGAACTGAGCTAACCCAAACCTAGAGTGAAAGGTAGTTTAGGCTTTTACCTTTTAACCAGGGAAAGGGACTAAGATAGAGTCAGCTGGTTACAAATAAAACAGCACAGAAAGTCCATACAGCTAGTTAAGCTTAGAAATGTAATGGCAGACACAGGAAAAGGGATAGTTAAGATAAGAATCCAAACTCAAGGGGAAAAAAAAACACTTCTTAGGCAGAATATACTAAATTACCTAACAACTCCTCCCTACCTCTGGGCTGGACCTGGAAGAATTTAGAGCTACAGAGAATCAGTTTCCTTAGAACTAGATTTCCTTTGAAGTCATCCAGCTGAGTAACTTGATTTTCTTTAAACTGTACATTACAAAGCATGAAACTGGTTATTCTAAAGGTTATTCTAAACCCACAGAGCCACCTGTGGTAGGTAATCCATGCATTACTAACAAATTCTTATGTTCTGCTTGTCCATAAAAGACCAAGACAAAGACAGCATCTGTGCACTCGACTTCCAGGACCCCTCCCTCATGGCTATTGGGAGTCTTTTATTTTTCTTTTTATATTTCCAATAAACACTTACCTCCTTTTTCTCCTTTCTGCCCCCAGTTTCATCCTTTTGACTTGTGAGATGACACTATTTTACTAAG